CATGTCGCCCGCAGATTCGTTGAGGCTTTACCGTCTTTCAGCAGTGGACCAGCGGCCGCATTGCGCCTAGCCCAAGTGGAAACGCACCTCAAAGTTATGCGCGTGCCGGGGCTGCGGATTGAGCAGGAGAAGGGGTGAGAGGAGGAGGAGGAGGAGGAGGAGGAGGAGGAGGAGGAAGAGGAGGAGGACCAGTGCAAACCCAAGAGTCATCAACGATGCTGGAATAAGCCCTCCCTCCAAGCTCCCTCTCCAGTGGCCCCTACGACGGTTCATGTCCTTTGAGCCTTTGAGGGAACTGCCTCGTTGGAAGACGACCGTTTGAAGACCCGGAAGCATGCCAAAACATTGTTCTCGGGATTCCAACGCCACGGATTAACCTGACTGTTTGCGTCTTGACGATCCTGAATCGTGAATCGTGCCAGAACGCCATATTTGGGAGTTCAGCACCGCGAGCCAAGATAACTGTTGCACCCGCATAATTCTGAATCCTCCGATAACTGTTGCACCCACATGTTGTAAAGGAACCGCCCTCAATCCGTGAAGCTCTTGCACTTTGTTTAAAGACAACCAAAAAACTAATGTTCGCGGCGTTAGGGCGAGAGCCACATTTTGAAAAGGAGCCGCCCTCAATGCGTGAATTTCTGGGATAAAATAAAACACAGTGCGCGGCGCTAAGGCGAGAGCCTCATTTTGAACACCACCCGCCCTAAATCCAAGAAGCCCTTGCAAAGTTTTAGGCCGACTGTGCGCGGCGCTACGGCGAGAGCCTCATTTTGAAAACGACCTGCCTTCAATCCGTGAAAGGAGGAAGAGGAGTGGGAGGAGGAGGATCAGTGTAAACCCACAAGTCATTAATGATTTTGGAATAAGCCCTCCCTCCAAGCTCCGTCTTCATAGGCCCCTACAGCGGTTAATTTCCATTGAAGGAATTGTCGTTGGAAGATCCTGAAGTATACCAAAACATTGTTCCCGGGATTCCAACGCCACGGATCAACCTGAGTGTTTGCGTCTTGACGATCTTGAATCGTGCCAGAACACCATTTTTGGGATGTCTAGACAACGAATCAACGTAATTGCTGCACCCATGTAATCCTGAGTCCTTTCAAAACACAAATTCGGACACGCTGATCATTGGAACCCGTGAAACTCCTGCAACTGTTTACGACGATTGGGGGCGGCGCTAAGGCGAGAGCCACATGTTGTAAAGGAGCCGCCCTCGCTTCGCGAAGCTCTTGCAAATGTTCAAAACGAATGTGCGCGCCAGAGTTTGAAAACCACTCGCCCTCAATCCGTGCCAATCTTGCAAATGTTTAAATCGAGTGTGCGCGGCGCTAAGGCGAGAGACATGTTGAAAATCACCCTCCCTCAATCCGTGAAGCTCTTGCAAATTGTTGAAAACGAATGTGCGCGGCGCTAAGTAGAGAGCCACAATTTGAAAACCACTCGCCTTCAATCCGTGCAACTCTTTGGACATGTTCAGAACGAACGTGCGCGGCGCTAAGGCAAGAGCCAGATGTTGTAAAGGAGCCGCCCTCAATCCGCGAAACTCTTGTACATGTTTAAGACGACTGTGCGCGGCGCTACGGCGAGAGCCACATTTTGAGAACGACCCGCCCTCCATCTGTGAGACTATTGCCACTTGTTAAGCTCCAGAGTCATACATTGCGAGGAAATCTCAGGCGAAACGCCCGACCCGCCCTAAAAACTTGCTTCGGGGTTCGACATGGAAAAGTTATCTAGAAGAAAAGGAATGGGGGAGAGGGAGGAGGATGAGGAGAAGGAAGGGTGACGTGGAGGAGGAGGAAGAGGAGGACAAAGAGGAGCAAGCAAGAGAAGGGGGGGGAGAGAATTGAGGGGATGCCCTGGAGGGACAGGGGAAGGACGAGGGACACGAAGTGATAAGTGGCGCGCCCGAGAGCAGCGTCGCGAGGCACCATGTCAGAGCTGCCGGCGATCCGATTCAATTCGGTTTCGATGACATGCTCGCGTCGTGAGAAGAATACGCGACGGAAGGTGTTTGTTGTTTTTCTGCCTTTGGGTGCCCTCGCTCGGGATGAAAAAACTGACTTCCGGGAACTTCATATTGAAAGAACCCAGATATCGCATGTATGGGATTCTGTGCGTTCGGCTCACCAGCATCGGCCGGGACCGCCAGAGCGGGGCGCGGCGATCCGATTTCGCTTCCATGCGTTGGCGGTCCGACCCGCTCCTGATCCGTTCCGATTTCGCGATTCGATCTGGTTCGGGCCTGCAGCTTGTCTGAAGGGGGCAGGGGGAGCCTCTTGACGAGGGGCCTCTCCCGGAGAGGCCTCCTCGGGACGCCGCCGGGCCCTTCTGAGGAGGGGGAGCTGCAGGGGTTCGTGGCCCAGTGCGTCCCCGGCTTGCCGCCGCATATCTGGGCCTCGCGAGGGGTGCTCTGGAGGCCGTGAGGGCTCCCTGGGAAACCTGGGGCCTCCTCCTCCTCCTCCTCCTCCTCCTCCTCCATCTCTTCATTTCCCCCTCTTGGCTGTCAGAGTTTTCGCTAATTACCACTCCCAGAGAACACGCTGTGTGAATGAGCCCCCCTTCTGACACACGTACTGTTTCCTAGGATCTTGGCACGAGCGTGCGTAGCACGCTGCCGACTGCAACCGCCCGCGCCCTTCTTGGGCTCGCCTTCCGGCGCGCAGGGTTGTCCCCTGACCCTCCCCCCTTTCGATTTCCCCTTGGGCTTATCCAGCTCAGACCCCCCGGCCGCCTCCAACTCGCTGTCAGTGCCGGTGCCGCCGCGGCGGCTGTCAATTTGGGACGCACGTCGCCCGTCCAACAGCGGATGTTTCAGGAGGGAAACAACACACAGACACAATTAATCGTCGATTCCCCCCAAAAATATGGGAAAAAATGGGAAGTGTGGGGGAAGACAGAAACCCAGAAAATATGTGGAAATTTGGGGAATATCTTTATTTGTGTGTATTTATTTGTGTGTCTCAGGGCCCCTTCAGTCAATCTGGGACAAACGTCGCCCGTCCAACAGCGGATGTTGTCGTCTTTGGGCAACATTTGGCCGATTCTGGAAGCCCTGAACCTTACAAGGTTGCTATCTCTCGGGGGCGCATTCTTTATTCGAGAGGCTTACGCCCTTCCGCCGGCCCCCAGAAGAGGCGTGGAGTCCACGATTGAGGCGTCGTGGGCTTGTTGGGCGCTGTGTGGGGATTCTTGCGGGCGTCTTGGGAGCTGTTCGGGGGCCTGTTGGAGCCTCTTGCAGGCAGTATTGAAGCGTGTTGGGGGCCGCCTTTGGGCCTCGTTTTGGCCTCTTGGGGCTTATTGGGGGCTTCTTGTGGGCCGCTGGGGGGCTTCTTGGGGCCTTTGAGGGGCTTCTTGGGGCGGAAAGATAGGATTTTCGGGTCGTGTTCTCCCTCTTCGCCTCTCTTGGAGCCCTTTTGGGACGATCGTTGGCCGTCGTGGGCCCATCTTTGGGCCGTCTTGGAACTCTCGTGGGCCGTCCTGGGGCCCTCGTAGGGTCTAGGGGCCGTTTGGCAATTTGGGGGGCAGTCTACGGGGCCTCTTGGGCCGTCTTGGAGCGTCGGAAGCTCGAGAAGACTTGGAGGCCTCTTGGGCGCTCTCCGGACGATGTTGGGGACCTCTTGGGCCGTCTTGGGCCGTCGGAGAACTGATAAGAAGAACATGCCAAAATCCTTCACCGAAGGCGAATCAATTATTTTGGGCTCTTCGGGCCTTCCTGGGGGCTCTTTTGGAGGCGTCTTCGACCATCTTAGAGCCATCTTGGGCCGTCTTGGTGGGCTCCTGGCCCGTCTGACGCCGTCGGAAGCCGTCTTGGGGGCCTCTCTGGGGCGACTTAGGGCCTTCTTGGAATGCTCCAGGGCAGTCTTGGAGGCTTCCTTGGGCGTCTTAGGGTCCTCTTGGGCCGTCTTTGGGCCCTCTTGGGGCCGTCTTAGGAGCCTCTTGGGCAGTCCTGAAGCCATCTTGGAGGCCTCAAAAGCTTGAAGAACAACAATGAGTTTAGCATCTTCGGGTCCTCCTGGAGGACCTCTTGGAGGCCTCTTAGGCCGCCTTGGAGGCCTCTTGGACACCTCTTGGGCAGTCTTGGGCCGTCTTGGAGGCTTCTTGGGCGTATCTGGAAGTATCTTGGCCCCTCTCAGGCCGTCTTGGAGGCCATCTTGGAAACATCTTGGAGACCATCTTGGAGCCGTCTGGAGCAGGAAAAACCTAGGCAACCACCTTTTGGGCAGTCTTTGGGTCCTGTCGGGTGGCTGGCGGGACGGGCCGAAGCCCCAGGGGGAGTTTCAAAAGAACCAAAATCGAAAGGATCCAGCACGCCGGGCACTCCTGTGATGAATCAACAGTGGGCGGCGGATCGAAGACGCCTAATTACGGCGAATCACCGCCGACCCCTGCCCCTTTGGAAGCGCCTCTGTGTCCAACAGCAGGGCCAGAGCTTGGCCAAGCTATCGGGCCAATTGTTCCCCGAGTCGGTTTGGACAGACTTCGGGAAACGCGTGGGAGAGCAAGAAGAGGATGAGGGGGAGGATGAGGAAAAAAGAGGAGGAGGGGGCCTCTTGGGCGCCTCTTGGGGCACTCTTGGGGCCTCCTGGGGGCTTCCTGGGGGTCTCTTGGAGGGTTTTGGGGGGCCTTTGGGGGCTTCTTGGGGGCCTCTTTGGCCGTCTTCGGGCGTTCCTGGCTTGTCTGACGCCGTCGGAAGCCGTCTTGGGGGCCTGTCTGGGTCGTCTTGGAGGCCTCTAGGGCCGTTTGGAGCCCCTCTTGGGGCCGCCTTGGGGGCCTCTTGGGCCGTCGTTGGGCCATCTTGGAGGCCTCTCGGGCAGGACGGCGCCTTCACCGTGCCAGGGCCCGGGCAGTCGCGCCCTCCGGGCCTGGCCAACGCGACCTGATCCGCGCGCCCCTTGGCAAGCCTGGCCTGGGCCGACACCGCCGCTGGCGCCCGCCGCCGCTGCCGACGACGCCGCCGGCACCAGCGGCCGCCCCAGCGCGCCCTGCAGCCGCGAGGCCCACAGGCGGGCGGGAGCCGCGCCCTCCAGGGGCGTGGCCCCCCGAGGCTCCGACGGCGGGCCGCGAGGCCGAGCGCCGCGGCGCTGCCGCCGCGGATGCCGGCTGGGCTGCGGCGCTGCGTGCTGCAAGGAGGGGGGGGGGGGGCGTCACGAGCGGCGAACATATCCTCACAGCCCCGAATCATCAAGGGTAACTCGGGTCAGGGATAACTCGGGTTCGTTTTTCGAGAATCCGAACCCGAGTCATCCCGGGCCCGAGCTACCCCGGATAATTCGGGCGGCCAGAGCCCCGAATCATCAGGGGTAATTCGGGTCAGGGCTAACTCGGGTTCGTTTTTCGGGAATTTAAACCCGAGTTACCCCGGATAACTCGGGCGCCCAATATCCGTATCCGCGCCCTCGCGGTCTGGAATCCTGGGCGCGATCCCGCGGACACGCGGTCGCACGGAGACGTTCCGCGCGGGGCATCTGCGGAAGAAGGCCGCGTAGCCGCGGGGTCGCGGCTCGGGGGCCTGGGCCGGAGGAGGAGGAGGAGGAGGAGGAGGAGGAGGAGGAGGAGGAGGAGGAGAGGAGGAGGAGAGGATGAGGACGAGGACGAGGAGGAGGAGGAGGAGGAGGAGCCTTCAGGAGTAACATTGGGGGGGGATGGGCTCCCGCGGGGGAGCGCATCGACCCTCCACGGCCCGTTGAGCGCCGGTAGGGAACAAAGGGGGCCCTATGTGTCTCACCCCGCCGAGGAGCGTGCGGGTTCGGTACCGGGGGCCTGTCGCCGATCTATCTCAGGAGGGGGAAAAACACACAGACACAATGAATCGTCGATTCCCAGGAAAATATAGGAAAATATGGGAAGTGGCCCAGAAAATATGGACAAATATGGGGCATGTTTTTATTTGTGTGTATTTATTTGTGTGTCTCAGGGCCCCTTTACGATCAGCGATGTATCTCCGATTGATTCCAGGTCCATGTTTCCCCGCGGGAGCGGGTCCCCCCTGACGCTCCCCGTCGTTCCCTTGCATCTTGCTGGTGACGTTTTTGCTGCTGGGGCTACTGGTAAGAGTACTGCTCGCCCTACTTACATCGGAGAAAAACGCCCGGGGCAAGGATTGGCTCAGGATGTTTCGCTATCGGGGGCCTGTCCGCGATCTATCGGCGATGCATCGCCGATTTCAGGTCGATGCTCCCCCCCCATTAGCTGGTCCCCATGGATTGCTGATAGGGGCCCGTTGGCCCATTCCCCCAATGGCCCATTGATTGCCGATGGGGCCCGATGGCCCTCCCCGCACGGGAACGTCAGATCAATCGGCGATGGATGGCCGCTTCCCAGCCGATGTTTCCCCCCCCCTGGGCGGCCGCACCCCCCCCCTATCGTTTTCGGGGGCGGGAGCGGGAGCGGAGAGGAGTTGGAACGCTCGGGCCGGATCCTCAGGGGTGGGCCCTGCTCCTTCGAATGCTGCCGTCCGCGCTTCCAGGTCGATGCGTCCCCCCCCCCGAGCTGGTCGGGGGCGGGGGCGGGAGGAGCTGGGGCGCCCAGGCCTCGGAGGGCGGCACCGCAGCCGGAGGGCAGAGTTCGCCGGCGAGCCGGGTCCGCCCTCCCGGGGGGGAGCGCGCCGGTTTGGGCCAGGGCGGGGGCCCCGGAGGGGACGAAGGTCCTCGCGCTCCCTCCTTCGCAACCTGCGAAGAGCGCCGACGTCGAGAACGCGTGCCCGCGCGCCTGGGCGCGTGGGGAGTGAATGGTAGGAGGTCGTCGTCGGTACATGGGCGCCTGCTAATTTTCACCCGCCTGTGCTCGAAGCGGCCTCTCCCTTGTGGGCACAGTCCTGACCTCGCCTCCACGCTTCCGCTTCCTCCTCATCATCCGTCCTCAGTTTCTTTATTTTCCTCCTCCTCCTCCTCCTTCTCCTTGCTTCGCATGTACAGCTGTCGCTGTGAACGTCCCCTAATCACCCATTCAGTCATTCACTCGTTCATTCACGCACGCATTCATGCACTCCTCCTCCTCGTCCTCGTCCTCCTCCCCCTCCTCCGCCTGCTCCTCATCCCCAGACATCAGACGGTATGAGATCAGTCGATGCGTGGCCCTTGCAGATATCCCGACACCTTCCCTGGGGGTAGGGCCCGATACCGGGGTCCAGAAGCCGAAACCATGGACACTCGCTTCGCGATCGATCCTATCCCACGATGGGGGCGTTCGGTAAGGAATGTGCCCAGGAGGCTCCAGAGCCTGGAGGATTTCTGATCTGATGTTGGCGGCAGTGACATCCGTGGCCAATCCACGATTGAAGTTCCACCAGCTTCCAGACCCTGGACTCCTTATCCAATCGTTCTTTATCCAACGCCTTCACCGTATCCTATCCTTTCTCACCATCATCGTCCTCACCATCATCGTCATCATCATCACCGTCACCATCCTCACCATCACCCTCACCTGGGTCTTCGTCCTATCCTCACCACCACCACGATCGCATCTCCTCCTCATCCACCTCTTTCTACTCTTCGTAGCTCGTCCTCCTCCTCCTCCTCCTCCTCCTCCTCCTCCTCCTTATCATCATCATCATCATCATCATCATCATCATCATCATCATCATCATCATCATCATCATCATCATCATCATCATCATCATCATCATCGTCATCCTTCTAAATATCCTCCCCCATTCTTGTGCTCGTCTCCCTCCTCCCTGCGCGCTGGAGGCTTCCCCCCTGGTTGTCTTCTCCTCGAGAAGCCCGCGTGGACTGCCGCTCCGAGCCGATCCTCCCGCCGCCGCCGCCGCCGCCGCCGCCGCCGCCGCCGCCGCCGCCGCCGCCGTCGTCGTCGTCGTCGTCGTCGTCGTCGTCGTCGTCGTCGTCGTCGTCGTCGTCGTCGTCGTCGTCGTCGTATCGTCGTCGTCGTCGTCTGCGCAGCCGCCCCGCCGCGCGGGGAGGCCTGGCGCCGCGGCCGGGCCGCGGCCGAGCCGCCGCGGCCGCCCCGCGCTGGCAGGCCGGCGGGCGCCCGGGGCCGCAGCCGGGCGCCGGCCGCCGCACGCTGGCGGCCCTCCGGCAGCAGACGCCCGGGACCCAAGGTCAGGCGGAGAGAGGAGGGGGAGGGGGAGGAGGAGAGGGGAGGAGGGGGAGGGGAGGAGGAGGAGGACGAGGGGGATAAGGGGAGGAGGGGGAGGCGGAGGAGAAGGAGGAGGAGGAGGAGGAGGAGGAGGGTCAGAGGCGGGACCCAAGGTTCAGGAGCGGAAAACACACACGCACAGACACAATGAATCGTCGATGTCTTAGAAAATGTGGGAGAATGTGGGAAATGGGGGGAAGACAGAAACCCAGGAAAGATGGGGAATCTTTTTACTTGTGCGTAGTTATTTGTATGTCCCAGGGCCCCTTCAAAGGTCAGGGGCGGCACGCCGGTCGTTGAGAGGTTCGTAGGGGAACAAAAAGTGACATGAACATAAAAACTCGGAGGTCCGCGCGGATGTCTCGGATCGGCGTTGGGGCCCCCCGGCGGAGCCTCCGGCGCCGCCCCTGGCGCGCTCCGCGCGTCGCCTGCCGCCGCCGCCGCCGCCGCAGCCGCCGCCGCCGCCGCAGCCGCCGCAGCCGCCGCCGCCGCCGCCGCCGCCAAGTGTACTATGTATTGTTTTTTTGACAGGGATGGAGGGGGGGGGCCGCATCAGGTTGGCTGCGCATGTTCCGAATTTGGAGGCAGAGTGTGGTTTGCATTGTTGTTTACAAGGAATGGTGTGGGGGGGGTTGTCATGGACCCTGGTTGGCCCCCAGTCGCCTGGGGGAGGGGGTGTTTATTAGTAGGGAACAGTGATACACCCCTCCCCGAAGGGGAAGAAGGAGGGGTGGAAGATGAAACTCCCTAAACCACCTACGCCCAGAGGGTTGGTGGGATTATTCTTCAACCTGGGAGGTTAGCTGCGAACCAGTCGATCGGAGGGGCAGCTCAGGAACATCCAGTGGTCAATCGAAGACCCGCTGTAGTTGGAGCCATCGTCGATCCATCCACCGGTCTTGATGACGTCGTGCGAATCGCAACCCCACGCGTCAGACTAATAATTGTACGCCTCGTCCCTGTAACCCTCGACTTCCTCGCCCGTCTCGCCGCCAGGGCCGTCGAGGTCGTCGTTGCTCTGCGCCGCGCAGCTCTGTGCGGCCGTTCTCGCGACTGTCGAAGCGACCCCCTGCGAAACTGTCCGGGATCAAGCTGACCGAAGAGGAGGTCGAGGCTGCCGAGAAGGTGCTGCAAGCCGTGGGTCAGAGGATGATCGCGTCAAACAGGCAGGATCTCGAGGCGTTTGTCAACGTCAGCCCCAATGCCGAGGTCACGGAAAGCCACCGGTTCGACGAGACGCTCGCGCATAAGTTCATCGGCCACCACGGTCGATGCCAGGATGCGCAAGAGAAGCAGGTGGTTTCGAAGGAGGTCGCCATCACGCACATTACACACCCGGACGTGATTCGCACACTTGCAGAGACCATGGACCGTAAGTTGAAGAGTACGAAGGTAAAGATACGGCGCTCGGTTCTCAAAGCTTCACCTGATGCGCCTACTGGTCGCACCGAGTCAGACTGGGAGTATGGGGCATGAGATCGCAGTGGAACCCGCGGCCTCCCGATGGTGCTCCGCGGTGTACCGATGGCGTCCGCGTGGCGTCTCGTTGGTGTATAGATGGTGTCTCTTTCGTGTTCCGTGGTGTCCCACTGCGTTTCGATTGGTGTCCCGTTGGTGTCTTGGTGGCGTGTCGATGGTGTCCCGCGGTGTCCCGTCGCGCTGTCCCGACCGCGTCCCGCGGTGACCCGTGGTGTCCGGCGTTGTCCCGCGGTGTCCCGCGGCGACCCGCGGCGTCCCGCGGTGTCCAGTGATGGTGTCACGTAGTGTCGCGCGGCGTCCCGTGGTGTCTCGCGATGTCCCGTCGCGGTGTCCCGATGGTGTCCCGCGGTGACCCGCGGTGCCCCGCAGTGTCCCGTGGCGTCTTGTTGTGCCCCATGGGATCAGTCGTGAGATCGAGTGTGAGATCGTTTGTGAGATCGATGGTGGGATCGCTAGCGAGGTCTATGATGAGATCGGCAGTGAGGTCGACCGTGAGATCGGCGGTGAGATCGATATCGAGATGAATCGCGACGTTGGTCATGGGATCAATTGTGAGACCGACCGTGAGAGATCGATCGCGACATCGATAGTGAGATCGATTGCGAGGGCGATTGCGAGATCGATCGGGAAAAAACGATGGAGAGACCAGTAGCGAGACCGATCGTCAGGTCGAGGGTGAACTCGCCAGTGAGATCGTCAGTAGGATCGATCGTGATGTTCGCAGTGAGGTAGTGAAGTTGAATACGAGGTTGATTGCGAGATCGATACTGGGATTGGTAGTGAGACCGATAGATGGATCGCGAGATCGACTGTGCGACGAATAATGGCGTCGGCTGTACGACGGAAATTGGAATTGATGACGATATCGATACTGAGATCGATTGAGCGAGGCGCTGCCCCGCATTTCCCCGGACTTCCCCGTCGCCCGGAGGGTGGTCGCAGAGGCATTCGGAGATTCCCATGTTCCGAACGGGAACGCTCGTCGGAGAGCGACGCGAAAATGTTTCCCGATGGGGGTTCATTGCGAGGCCGCCCAAGAGGGCGCGCAGCTGGCCATGGATCGCAAGGGGTCACGGATGGACCCGATGGCCTCGGCGGCAGCGAGCGCCGACGCGAGCCAGGCCGACGCCGGGGCGGAGCCCGACGACCCCGGGGATCAGGCACAGAGGGCCCTCGCGCCGGAGGTGAGACTGTCGAGGTGGAGCTGATCCAGACGAACGCGAAGAATCAGAACGACCCTTGCCACGTGGGGCTCCGCAAAGACCTGACGAGTTGTTGGAGGAACGCGAAGTTGACGGGGGCCGCCCTGGCACGCGCACGCGCGCGAAGAAGCGGCCGACGCGAAACGGGCCCCCAAGCCGACCGGGCAGATTTAGTTGCGTCAGAGTGTTCGACGAGATCGATCAGATCCCGCATTAAGCCAGATGCAAGGGGGGCGGCCGCCCCGCGGCTGAGGGCTTGCAGGGCGCCGGCCTGAAGTGGGCGGCACGCGTCGCGATCTCGTTCCGTCGCTGAGCGCGCGCGGGCCGTCTCCGGCAACGCGTTGGGAGTTTTGCTCCGCGCGGCGCTGCTCGAGGCCGCGCGGGGGCAAGTCCGCCCCCCGACGCGGCGCCTCCACTGAGCAAGCGCGACGCTGCGCGGCCAGGGTAAAAGAGGGGCGATGAGCAACGCGCGCAACAGGCGCGCGTGCGTTCGCATTCCCCCCTTCCCTGATTACCTCCCCCATGCCCCCGCCGCCGCCCGCTCTCCCCACCCGCCCCGCCCGCCCCCAGCTTTTTGAATTGTCGCCCCCATTGCCCTCAACCTGTCTCGCGCCCCCCCGATGCCCCCCGGCGCGCAGTCGCGAGCAGACGTCGACATTCGGGCGCAGAGTCGCGCGCGCAAATTCGCGCCCAAGCACAGGCCCATTTCAGATGGGCTCGCGCATTCTGCGCCCGCTGCATCGAACCTCGCATCTCGCGCGCGGGTTGCGTCGGCAAGGCATCGGCGCGAAGCGAGCGGCAGAGGCCGCCAGTTGCTGCGCGGGCAGCGGGCCCTTGAGATCTTCGAGCGAACTCCGCTCAGAGCAGCGTCGGAGTGCGGCGTCGGAGCGGAGCGCGGCGAGGCTAGTGCCCGGCGCCCTCGGCGCTGCGCGCGCGCAAGAGCACTCGCGCGGCGCGCGCGCAGGGCGTCTTCGGGGTAAAAATTCATTGGCCGGCGCCCGAGCGAGCGGGCGCCGCCCTGGGGGCCTGTTCCACGACTTCGACATCATGCCCAGTTGGCCCCGCGGTTGCGGGCCAACCGAATGGCTTAAACCGCCGGCGGGGAGGAGGCCGTCAACGCCGCCCAGCGCACTGCAATGGCCCCGCGCGTTTGTTCAGCGCGCGTTCAATGTGCGCATGGGCATTTCACGCAACGCTTCCGGTCCAGAAGTGTCGCGTTCGCGAGGCGGCGCCCGACCCGAACCCGTAGAAAACGGCGCGAGGCGATCCGCAGTTGCATTCGCGCCGATGGCGACGGGGCGGGCTCGACAACCATTTTTTCGTTTGGGCGGTCGCGGAGAAGCCTCGCTACAAGCGGGGGGCCCTCGGCGCGTCGTCCGCGCGCGCGGGGATCAGAAAGTCTGACTCGACACGCGCGGCTCTGGACATGTCGACGAGGGCGTTCGCTTCGACCGTCAACATTCTACTGGCTGGGAAACTGCGATGACTGATTGGCAGAACAACGAGCTGCCTGAGGGCGGCTCCACCCTGGCATGTGGCTGGAGAGCTCAGGTCGCACAGTTTCGCGGCGACTGGCAGTTTCGGTTGTCGGGCGTTCCATTTCGCTCAGTGCAATGCGGCCGTTGCAACGCGCCCATATTGCAGGGCGGCGAGCGCGCGTCGAGGGGGGGGCATGGCGCGACGCGGGCCCAGGCGCGGGATGGAGAGACGCCAACTGGACCCACGAAACATTCATGGCCCCTGTAGCACTGCATGGCCTGCCCGTCCTCAGTTTCTTCCAGCCCGAACATGGCGAAATTGGACTGCGACGTGAGAGCGTGATGGTCGACGTCTCACATGCACTGGGCGTGGGAATGAAGGCCCACGCCATCGGCGGCGCGATGCTTGCATTCGCATGCAGTCGAAAGAAGCGGGTGGAACCACATACGAGGAGGCCTCCGCGCGAGCGGCACCACCAGACTGGTGGCCAATGTGGCACCAAGGGCCAACGAACTTTGGATTGGTTGCGGGGCGAGAGAGTTGGGGAAGGTTGAAAGCACGTGGCGCCGCCACAGGGCATTTTTACATCATTCGTATTCCACGTGCTGTTCGTTTTTTGTTCGATCTCTGATGGCCCGTACTGGGACGTTCGTGATCGACCCGCCATGTGGCGCGCCCCAGCGACTTGGCAGGCGCAGCCGGAGATCCTTCATAGGAGCAGCGCAACTCAAACAGAGCTCGAAGCGTGTCGGCGCCCGGTTCGCGTCCACATATTGCAAGTTGACACGTTGGGTTTTGTTTTTGATCATCTTATAAGATTAGAGAGAGCGTGTTCTGCCGCTGCTGGCAGGAAACCAGGGGGGCACCATGGCGGTTTCAAACCCGCCCCCCACCTCCCCTCGAAAACAGAGGGGGGGTCATTGGGGTCTCCAGACCCGCCCGCCCCCCCCCCTCCCCAGTCCATCCTCATATGGGTGTGGTCACTACCGGTTCGAACCCCCTCACCCACCCATCTTCGCCGCCGGCAAACGGTTCCCTTTCCCCTTCCCCCACTCCCGATGGGGGAGTGTGGTAGGGACAGTAGTTGGGACGGCGGTGGGGATGGTGGTGGGGGGTGGGGGCAGTGGGACAGTGGTGGGGACGGTGGGGACACTGGGGCGAATGGGGCCGTGGTGGGACAGGCGGGGACAGTGGGACAGTGGGACAGTGGTGGGGTCGGTGGTGGTGGGGACAGTGGTGAGGATGGTGGTGGTACAATGCAGTGGTACAGTGGGGACAGTGGCGGGGACAGTGGGGACAGTGGGACCGCACAGCGGTACAGCGGCGGGGACAGCGTGGACAGTGGGACAGTGGTGTGGACAGTGGGACAGTGGCGGGGACAGTGGGACAGTGGTGGGGACAGTGGAGACAGTGGTGAGAGTGGGACCGTGGGACAGGGTGTGAGTGGGGACAGTTGTGGGGACAGTGGGGACAGTGGCGAGTGGTAAGGGAGGGGGGGGGCTCGAACTGGTTGTGACCCCCCCCACGTTTTCCGGGGGGGGATTCGAACTGGTAGTGACCCAGTGACCCCCCTCGGTTTTCCAGGGGGGGGTTCTCGACGGGGGACGGGGGGGCAGGGGGGCGGGTCGAAAAGGAAAAGGGGGGTGGGATTTTCGAAGGGGTGGGCGGGACCTTTGGGTTCCGGTGGAAAATGGGGGGATGTTCCACAGCAAAGCGGCGGTGTATCACGCTCTCTCTAAGATTTGGAAGAAGGCGCCGACGTTACACTTGTCCAATGTTCGAACACTTGATCACGCAGCCAATGCAGTTTGCAAATCCAGCCTGGTGGTGGACGTGGTGGACATACGCAGACGAAGACTAGCGGGACGATGGATCATAATCGCACACACACACACACACACACCGTTCATCAAACCACGGTCGGTGAGTCCATGTTGTGTAAGTGGGTGCACTGTGTATTTGACGCGCTGGTGTTGGATCTTGATGTGGGCACCTAGAGCTGACCTCAACAACGCATCAGGACCATAGTTTGCCGACACAATCATCCTTATCCAGTGATGTATGTGTACATAGACACCTTTTATATAGTGATGGTACACTTTTTTATACACACACATATAGTGATGTGCACTCATGCGAATACACGCGGCATGGGCTGGGGCGGGCGGCTTGGCCTAGTGGACGGCTGGAGGCGGGGGGGAGGGTGACGAGTAGGAGAACGAGAAGGATGATGGGGGAGTCAACCCGGGCTCGAGGCGCACCCTCCCCCGAACTCCCAGGAGGGCACGCGGGATGCCGTTGGTGGAGTCTCACTGGCCCAAGCGGTGCGTAAGCGCTGTCCCGAAGTCCTTGGAAGCGTCGCAGTTGCGTATGAGTGAGGGGTGGGCGGTGTGGCTTCGAGATCTGTCGCCTTTTCGAGAATATTAGGTTTCAAAAACGGCATTTTTCTGGTCATCCAGCAAAATGATTCGATGTTCGGGACGCCCTTCACAAAATCAGGCGTCTCGAATTGAGGCGTTCAGAGGCGGTTCAAAGAAGGGGCCCGTATTCAACATACGATTCTGTTAGATGACGTTCAAGGGTTTATTGATGGCGGCGATGATGACGACGATGACGATTACGATCGTGACTACATGTTTGCCTCGGGGATGTGTTTCAACTTGGGGGCGGGGCGGGTCAAGGTTGGGTCGCGGGCGGGGCGACGGCAACAGCTACAACAAGAAACAGCACAGCGAAAAGCCACTTCAGCCATGCACCCAGGGACGGAGTGAGACCGTTTCGCCCCCTGATTGTGATCATGACCAGCTGTTACAAAAACAATTTTACAAATGACGAGAAATGTGTGGGCGTCCCATTCCGCTCTCATCTGGGTCTTGCTCATCCGACAAATCGTCGCGAGAACCACAATTTTCCAAATTAACAAAACGAATTTACCGCGCACCGCACCGTGTTGCGATTCTAGATTCTAGAACAGCTCGAGAACGCCGAAACAGTGAAACCATTATACTGCATGCATTTACGGGTTTACCGCATCTCTTTCGCGATTCCCTTCAATTTTGAAGGAACCGAGGGTTTTACTGCTTGTATTTGAGGATTCGTATTGTAGTGCGGTGTTTCTTCCGATCGTGCCCGCAAGTCCAAGCAATACCCTCTTTTTGTTTGAAGAACCGTCTTTGTCTTGAAGGTGTTGATGCTCAGGCTTCCCCGGTTGCCCAGATCGTCCAGAGTGGCCGCTGGAAGACCGAGCTATGACCCGAAAACCGAGCGACGAGGATCACTGGTAAGGATCGGCTCAGGGGGCTATGCATCGGCTCTAAACACCCACTCAGCGCCGACAGCGGGCCCGACAGCCCTTCCCCGCCCAGACGCTGGCGGCTTCGCCATCGGGGGCCAAGTTCGACCATTTGGAAATGCATCGCCGATTCCAGGGCGATGCTTCCCCCCCCTGAGCTGGTGCCCCCATGTCGTTCCACCTCAGTAGGAGGGGAAACATACACACAGACACAATGAATCGTCGATTCCCCAGAAAAATATGGGAAAGTATGGGAAGTGGGGGGGGGGAAGACGAGAGCCCGCAAAATATGGGAAGATATAAGGGATTATTTTATTGTTGTGTATTTATTTGTGTGTCCTTGTCGGGGGCGGCAAAGAGGGGGGTGATGACTAGGGAGGGGTGGATATCATGGCGCGGGCCATGCTATTTCCCCAGATCTCATGGCGCCCCTTCTTATCTCATTACGTCCCTGGCCCCCCCGCTGGGCCGCGCACATGCCGCCGGTCATGATTTGCACCACCCCCTCTTGGACACCCCCCTCTTGGCCGATCGTCGATTCCCCAGAAAAAAGATGGGAGAGCATGGGGAGTGGGGGGGAAGACGAAAACCCCCCAAATAGGGGAAAACATCAGGACTCTTTTTATTTGTGTGCTTTTCTTTGTGTGTCCTTGGGCCCCTTCGCAGAGGCCCGCAGCAGTGCGTCAGCCGCCGCACGTTCGCGGCCTTCCGGCAGCAGACGCCCGGGACCACAACCGGGGGGGGTCGCTCGCCACGGAGGCGCCCGGATCGCCGACGGTGCGGTGTTCGTTCAAGTCGGGCCTGTCCCCCTACAGGGGGATTTGCGACGATTTTTTTTTCACCCAGAAGAAAGCAAAAAATAGTCCAAAAAAAGGTCTGGGGACTATTGTTTGAGTATTGTATGACCTTTTTGGTGTATTTGTGGGGTTGTTTTATATTTACCGTCGAAAATCCCCCTGTAGGGGGACACGCCCGACATAAATGTTTGTCCACCTGGGCGTTTTCACTCGGCTTCGGCCTCCGGGGCCCGCTATCTCGCAGGAGGAAAAGGTACCCATACCTCTACCCCTTTGCCCCTCTCCCCTCGCCCGTTTTCCCCTCGCTTTGGGCCTCCTGGGAGGCCCTCGTCGCCACCGCTGGATTCCCCTCGAAATCCTGGTCAGAACGCACCCCGGGAGAGGTCCGGGGGGTAGCGGTATCGGTTTCTTTCGGTTTCCCCTTTATCGGGCCCCAGGATCACCAAAAACAAAGCCGGGGCGAAAACTTGCCGGGGGGAGAGGCTCGGGACCTCCCGGGCCGCGCACGGAAAAATAGCATCGGCGGATGTCGGAGAAAGGGGGCCTGAGGGACATGTGTCGGACGTTTCGCATGTGTTTCTGTAGTAGTTGTTTTCCAGCCTCGGGATGCTTTTCGAAGGCTGCGCCACACCAGGAGCGCTCCCAGGGTGCTCGAAGCGTCCTGAACGGCCACCCGAGGCCCGAGCCACGACCCGCAAGCCAGGCGGCCCATTGAGGAAGTTGGTCGTGGGGGAGGCGGGTCCTGAATGCTCTTGGCCGTCTTCGGGCTCCCAGGGCCGTCGGCGGGTGCCAGGACTGTTAAAAGACTAGGGGGCCACACGCGAACCCTCCCCCTCAGAAATCGTGGGTGGTAGGGGTAGGGTTCGCATGTGGTCTCCTAAAGACGGTTCAGGATGACGAGTTGGTCTTGGGGGTAGGCCCGGGGGTCCCGGACCCGCTTCCGCAGGACACGTTTCCTTCATGGGCAGGGGTGGTCAGGGGCAGGGGAGATGGAGCAGGAGGAGGTCAGTGGGGGCGGAGGGTGAAGAGCAAGTCTTCCGCCAGACAGAGATGCGAGGAGGAGGAGGGGAAGGAGAGGGCGGACGAGGGGGACGTGGAGGAGGCGAGGGAGAAGGAAAATGAGGAAGAGGTGAAGGACAATGTCAACGAGGAGGTTGAAGAGGAGGTAAACGAGAAAGAGATGAACGAGAAGCAGGGGGCGGATGGTGGAAGAGGAAGAGGAGGACTAATTGAGTGGCGTAAGGAGAGGGGGAAGAGGAAGGGGGAAGGGGAGAGGTGGAGGAACAGGAAAATGAGAGGGAGGGGACGGTGGGGAAGAGGGAGAGGAGGTGGAGGAGAATTGGAGAAGAGAAAAGGAAACGAAGATGGACTAGGAGGATGAGTAAGAGAAGGAGGAGGAGGAGGAGGAGGAGGATGGGAGAAGAGGACAGGTGGAGGAATAGGACAATGAAGTGAAGTGGAAGAGGGGCGGAGGAGGAGGAGGAGGAGAAGGAGGAGGATGGGAGGGAGTGGAAGACGTGGATAAGAAGATGAGGATGCGAAGGTCAGCAGGAGAAGGGACAGTGCGGCTTAACGTTCGCATTCTTCGGACGGCCGTTGGCAGCCTCTGGTGGCCATACTCGGGGGTGTTTGGCGCATCTCTTCACCATCTTGAGGCCCTGCCGGGTCAGGGGCGCTTGCCTGAATGGAGCGGAGGCTTTGGGAAAACATGCTCGAGCGTCTTCGCTTGTTGTCGACATGGATTGCTTCAGGTTGGTCCCCAAAGACATTTCTCATCATGTGTGAATCGTCGAGAGCTGCCCAGGCACTAATGTCGCGCCAGCTACCTGAAGTCCGCGATGTGGTCCAAACATCGGCCTGCTTGTCTTTCCGAGCACTTACTTGTCTGCAATTTATTTTGATTTCGGGGAGCATGGCCAAGACGTGGCTTTGAAAGCTGGCCAATATGGTTCCACAAGGGTTCATGGTTATTGCCCACCCCCTTTTGTGTGTTATTGGCTTAGAGTCGAGGGTAACATATTTTATATTGGCTTCTTATTATCTGATCCACTGTGAGTTAGGCGTCTGTCGTGCCATCGGGTAACAATGCGATGCCATGTGGTCTGCCTTTTCTTTGCGACTCGCAGTCCACGGGCCGACAATATTAGTCTGCTATTCGACTCGGCTTGGCCCCACTGATATCTACTCTACTCTGCACACCATATCCTACTGTGCTCCAGTACAGTGTACCGCTCTGCTTATGTACTGCCCTACGCTACTGTATATGAAGGGCTTCGCCCTCTGCCGGCAGCCCCCCTCACAAACTGCTTGCATGGCCACGCTTGGTTCGGTAGGTCGGTTGGGTTCCTTCTCGGTTGGTTGGCTGGCAACTCGGTTGATTGGTTTGATGTCTAAATTGGTGGTTGGAATTACCGCGGCTGCTGGCACCAGACTTGCCTTCCAATTGGTACTCGTAAAGGGATTTTAATTCTACTCATTCCAATTACAAGACAAGTATGCCCTGTATTGTTATTTCTTGTCACTACCTCCCTGTTGGCAGTTGGTTTGAGTTGGTTGCTGGCTGGCTGGCTGCGTACGTCGGGAAGAGCCAGTGCGGGATGGTGGCCTCGGAGGCGCGCCTCCATAGGAGTTTGCGGAGGTGCGCGTCTCGGGGAGCGCACACACCCGTAGACGTGTGCTGACTTCGTGGCCTCGGGTCCAGAGCCGAAGTCTCGGGCGACGACAGGGCAGCCGAAAAGCGCCCCCCGAACACACACACACACATACATATATCCATACCTCCATACATACATATGTATGATACACATACATATGTGTATACAAACATACATACACGCACCTCTCCGAGGAAGTAGAGTTCAGAAGCTATTGGTCGGTCCCGGTCGCGATGTTTCTGACCGTTTCGTTCGGGACACCATCATTGTTTTGAACACCCGTGGCGCCTATCACGCAGATCGCGACATCAGGGTCCAAAAACACAGCCGTTCTCAAACAGCTCAACGTAAAACCTTCACAGACACAATCTAAGTCATTGAGTTTGATCCCTCCCTATGCTTAGACGCATCAGTTTCGCATGAGACCTCGTCCAACAACCAGCCCATCTTGAATTCTATGCTTAGATACATGCTGTTCCCTGAGACATTCTCCCAAAGTCAAGCCCCGATGCACACAGAAAGCACATCACACACGGACTCAATCACACACACCACACACAACACCACACCACACACCACACAACACACACATGACACTTGCAACACATAACACACATACGCACACAACACGCACACACACACGCACACACACACACGCATACAAAACGCGCACACACAGACACACACACACACACACACACACGCAAGCACGCACGCACGCACGCACGCACGCACGCACGCACGCACGCACGCACGGACGCACGCACACACACACACACACACACACACACACGCACACACACGCTTTTTGGCGTCGCTGCCCTGCGCGCGGCGACGGGGTGGACAAAACAACCGTAGAGCAAGCCGCCCGCCCTAAGCCATCCGGGCGTGCGTAGACGACGGTGGGAGAAAAAAAAACAGCAAACACACACACACAAAAAACACACAAACACACACACACAACAAACACAACACACAAAGAACACAACAAACACACGTGTTGTTCCCCACGTGTTGTTTGTTTGTTTGTTTTTTTTGTGAAAGGGAGGTGCCATAAGCCCTGACCTTCCAGAGAGTTTTTTTTTCAGCACTGGAAGCCTAAAAACCTAAAGCGCGGAGCAAAACAGCGCAAAATCAATACGTATAATAGCTTTTGGTTAGGTGTTTACGTCGGATGCTATTTCTTATCCCTCCTGGAAGGTCAGGGAGGCTGGATGGTGGCCGTCTGGAGGGTCGGGTCCAACTTGCGTTGCGCCGGGTTGCCGGGAGGGTTCACCTGGCGGAGTGGGCAGCGGCAGGTGGTTGCGGCGGGGAGAGTAGCGCTGTGGCGCGCGCTTGAGAGATCTTGATTCTGCGCCTCTTCTCTCGGAGTCTCACCGAGCGCGTTCCAGTACTCGCAGAGTTCCTACTCGCGCACGCCCGACAAACATCTGTCTGCCCCGGTGTAGTGTATCGTACATCTCCCACGGCGGATCCGGGCCACTTGCGGGTAGTTACTCTGTGAGTCGCGGAACGCGCTTGGAGGAGGAGGAGGAGGAGGGGGAGGAGGAGGAGGAGGAGGGGGAGGAGGAGGGGGAGGAGGAGGAGGAGGAGGAGGAGGAGGAGGAGCCGACCCGCCGGGGCACCGCGGGCGCCTGGGCGAGTCCGCCAGGGGCCCGTCGCGCGGGGCCAGGCGCCAGGCCAGGATGCCGCAGGAAGCCGTGCCTCCAGCAGAGGGGGAGGGTGACCTCGCCGGCGTCGCAGCGGAGCACCGGGCGGTGGCTCGGCGCATCCCCGGAGGGAGGCGCTTGCGGCCGACCTGGGAACCACCGCAGGGCTTGCTGGAGTTTTAAGAACCAAATGATGGAGAGCTTATCTATGCTTGATTATTTTCTTTTCGTCTTCATATATAATATAATCTATATATAACGGCCGGAAAGAAAATAAGTATGGTTTGATAGCCTCTCCATCGACATGGTTTTTGTAATGCTGGAGGAGTTGTGGCGGCGCGGGCGGAGGCGGAGAGGGCGCGTGCGAGCATGGGAGGGGGGGGGAGCGGGGCTGCCCGCGAGCCTCCCAGACGTACCCCGAGCTCGCCGCAGGCCTCCGCGACCGAAGGGCCGGGCGGCGGAGGCTGTCGCAGACTGGCGATGGGAAGGCCTCCTGCTGCTGGGCCGCGGCGGCCTCCTCCTTCTGCTCCTCCCGGCGCCGGCGCTGGGCGGGTCCAGCGGTGGGCGGGTCCAGCGATGGGCGGGTCCAGCGCTGGGCGCTGGGCGGGTCCAGCGCTGCGCCCGCC